CCCGCTTCGAGCGGCTGCCGGCCCGGGGAGAGGAGATTTACGCTGACCCCACCACCTTTGTGATGAGGCGATCCATCAGTTCTCCAAAGGTAAATGCCCGTTGGTGCTCGGGGTGCACGAGGTTAGAGGGGGACTGTCACCAGGGACATGAGGACAGGGATGCTGCAGCACAGCTTGTCCCCTCTGCGTGCACAGTCTGGCCTCAAAATGCCGCCAAGTCCTTGGCTTGCAGCAGCTGATGGCTTTAGGTCCCACTTTTCTGTCCTGCAAAGCTGCCCAGGTTGTTGTTGTTCCCTTCTGGCTGCTCCTGTGCTGCTGCAACCCCAGAGGGATGGGGATGGGGATGGGAGCCCGGGGGGCCACAAGTGCTGGGCTGTCCCTGGGTGTCCCTCTCTTGCTGCTGTGTGCCCCAAAGCCAGACCTGACCCTGCCTCGGGGTCTGCCCTTGCGTGTGCTTTCTGGCCTCTTGCACACCTCTCACATCTCTGGTTTTGGGGTGGGGGGGTCTCTTCTCTCCTCAGTACGACTATCTGGGCGACAGACGGCCCGTCCCTGCGGGAATGTATCCGTACCACTACCCGGCATCCCCCACCGTCCATGACAAAATGGTACGTATGCTGCTGGCACCGGGGGGGTGAGCCTCCCAGAGAGGTGATGGGCTTGGGGGGTCCTTGCTGGGACAGCCGAGGAACTGTTCCACTCCAGGGGCAGCTTGGTGGGTCAGAACTGGGACCACAGCTCTTGTACTGGTGCCTCTGGTCCCTCCTGGCCATGCCCAAAGGAAACCGTCATGGGAAGACCCCCGGTCCCTGTCCTGCAGCCCCCAGGTTGCAGGGGGCGGGGAACAGGACCCCCTTGGGCCCCCATGCACCCGGTGATCCTGGTCCCCGGCTGAGGCTGGCGCACCCCCTGCCCCTCTCCCCTTCTTATTCCTCACTTCTGGCTGCGGCTGCTGCTTTTTCCTGCATCGTGGTTCCCCTCAGAGCACTGAGGGGTTGGAGCTGGCAGGGTGACACCAGGAGGTCCCCCCACACCACGGTCTCAAAAGCATGGGGCAGGACAGGTCGTTGGAGGAGGGAGAAGCAGGAGTTTCCATCAGCCACCCATGCTGCCATCCATCCTCGCTGGCCGGAGACGCAGGGAAGGGGCCGTGCTGCTGCCGAGGCACCGGGAGCCGGGGAGCCCAGGCTACCGCACGGGGAGCCCAGGATACGGCAGCTCCCCCAGCTCTGTGCCGAGGAGGTGCCTCGCTTTCCTGGCGAGAGGTCTTTGCATTTCCCTAGCCCTCACCTAACCGCTTTGCTTCTTCTTTTATATGTTCTGTGTGTTCGTTTCTTGCCGCATGCCTGCTGGCTCCTGGTAGGATGAACTTTTAGACCTTCAGTTGCAAAGAAACCTAGAGTATTTGGACCAGCAGGTAGGCAGAGCTGGCTGCGAGCCTCACGCTGCTTACGTCCCTGTGTCCCCTCTCCCCAGCGGCGTCCCCATCCCTCCCAGCGCAGCATCTCTTCCCCTAACATCCATCCTCACCCTTCTTGGCACTAAAGCAGCACGAGTTGTCTTTGGTTTGCTTCTTCCATCCTTCCCGTCCGTAGGGTTGCTCGTTGCTTGGCAGAAAAACCTCCCTGACAGTGCCTTCTGTGTGGGGTGGGGGGGCTCGGGGGGATCCAGGGCAGCATCCCATGTCCCCAGGGCCCTGGGGAGCTGCTCCTGGGTTGCATCCAGGTCCAAAACCCTCCCCAAGTCATTCTGCACCTCGCCCCAAGTCGCTCTGCTCCTCGCTGGCTCGAGGCAGTATGGGACATGGCAGACGGTGTGTCCCCAGACCCAGCAGTGCCTCCGGTGTGAGTGCGAACCAGGCTGCTGTGGGGGTATGGGGGCTGGTGCCTCCCGTGTAGGGGGGCTGGTGTGAGGTGGTTTCAGGGATGTCCTGGTCCTGTTTCTCCTCGAAGGCTCGAGGCTCAGTGCAGGGCTGGGGTGAGGCACCTGCTGGGACCGATACCAAAGCAGCAGCTCCCAGGTTTTTGCATGGCGGGGGGTGTTTGGAGGAAAGCTGAGAAGTCACTTCATCCCAGGAGCAGGGTGGGGGAAATCCAGCTGGGAGAGACCCCCCGGGAATGGTGGGATGGGAACCGCAGGCACCGGCTGCATTCAAAGCCAGGGCCAGGAGCTGCCGGCTGGTGCGGCAGCCCGGGCGCCCGCCTGCAAAAGCCAGGCTCACACTAAGGGAGCTGCTCCAGAGACAATCTCATTAGTCTGCAAATCTCTGTCGGTGCAGTAATCGCCAAGATCTGTGTCTGCCTTGGAGCAGGGCCAAGGACAGGCAGGAGCACTCGCTGCAATAAAAGCTCTCTGGATTATTTCACAGCCATCGGCTGCAAGGCTCGCTCTCCGAGGCTCTTTAAAACGCTCCCTAAAAAGGCTTTGCATCTCCTCCTCCTCTCCTGCTGACCTCTGGAGAGACTAATTCGGAGTGACGCTGTCGAGTAGCTCTTTTTCAAATGGCTTGCTGCTTTATTTTCTCTCTCCTTGTGCATCCAGTCGTGGGGATGGCTCCCCCAGCTGCACCCCACCTTTGCTGTGGGGGGTTTGGTCCCTGGTTTGTGCTTAAACTGCTGTCACCCCTCGGACCTCGATAGCCATGGGGCATGAGAGGGTCCCCTGGCATCCTCTGCCATGGGCTGTGCCCTGTGCCCACCCGGCTCTGCTACTCGAGGCTGCTGGGCTGGAGAGGGGGACACTGCTGTCCCCAACCCTGGGCTTCGGTCACCTTCCCCTGCGCCTGGGGCTCATCTGTGCCTTGAGCAGGGCCATCCCAGCCCTGGCTCGCTGCCGTTTGTCAGCCCGAGGAGCGGGACCCGTCTGTCTGTCTGCTGGGACCACACCGTGCGTTGCAGCCGTGGGTGTCTCTGTGCCAGCTTGTGTCTGTGTGTGCGGTTTGCTGCCGCCCGGCTCCGGGCTGGCTCCGTTTTATCTGTGTTTTCCCTTCAACAAAGCTTCCAGGGCATGCAACCAGCCCAGGATGCTCTTGACTGCACTAAATGGAGCAGCACAGCCTGGGGCAGCCATTCCCAAATGGCTCAAGCCCCTGGGACATCTCTTGGTGGTGGCACCATGCAGCCCGATGCCCCAAGGCCACCTTGATGCTCCGGGCATCTCCGCTGACCTCTGCACTTTCCTTCCCTGTCTGCCGCAGATGAGCGAGAGCGAGACCCTGATCAGTATGGTGAACAGGATGGTGGAGACCTCCCCCCCTAGGGCTCAGCTCTACATGCAAGTAAGGTGCCGGGCACAGCTCGTGCATGGCAGCCACGCCGGCCACCCCGCTCCATCCCCGAGGTCACCTCCTGCCATCTCCACTCATGCAGGCTCCAGCATCCATGCGGCTCTGGCACATCACACTCTTGGGGACCTGCTAGTCCATCCCAGGCTTTGCTAATCCATCCATGAGCCATTAGAAGCCGGTAAATCCTTGTGCTGAGAGCACAAGGTGGGGACGCAGCGGTCCTGGACTCTCATCCTTGTTTGGGCTGGACTCGGGTGCTTTGCTCACCCTCTGTTTGCTGTTGTGTGTCGATGAGGCGAGGAGAAGGTGTGAGATGACTTAAAGATGGAGGAATCCAGTCCAACGCTCTTAAACTGAAGCAGTAAGCCCCAAATCAGGGAGACGAAACAGCCTTTTCCCCTGCAAGGCTCTGCACATTTCTGCTCCCAGCCTGGAGAGGGCTGCAAAACCATTGGGACGTCCGTGCCGATGGTGGGCTGCAGCTCCAGGCGTGGGAAGGTCCCATCACCTGGGAATGTGTCTCTGGGTCACTGTGACCTGCAGCCCATCGTGCTGCCAGCCTGGGCAGGGGATTGTGGGCCCCCCCCCCCTGTGCTGCCCAGGGCATCTCCTGGGCGATCACTGGGGTTTTCCAACAAAGGGAAGGTGCCTGTTGCTGTCTGCTATGTGCAGGGAACTGGGATGTGCTGGAGGGCGATGCTGGAGCCGCTGGGATGCTCTCGCTGGCTGGACTCCCTGCCCAGAGGAGCATCCCCATCCGGGGGCTCTGCCTCCAGCCGTGCTGGGCTTTTCCCAGGTTCAGGTCTATTTGCATCGTCTGCTGGTTTGAAAGGGCTCTGAAGCAGCGTCTTGCTTTCGAGCAATAATGATCCCCTTCCTCCTATCTTATGCCTTTCATCTCCAGATCTTGGAGGCATTTAATTGGTTGAGGTCCCATTAGTAATTTAGATTTCCAGGAAAGGAAAGTGACTCTCGGAGAAGCTGGATGGTAAACAGCTGCTGGTTTATAGGTGTTTCCAGTCTGCTAAGTGGGATTAGGGCTTAATCCTCCTGCCTTTGTGTCCGTGCCTGGGCCGTGGTGGCAGTTCCACACGAAGCGGTTAATGATTCACGAGGCAGCTCTTTAACTTGGATCTTGGCGTCCTGGGGAGAGGTTGTCTCCGGTTAATTCCCGTGGCTCACCCAGCCGACAGGCACCGGGGCTGGGGATGGGGAGGGAGGTTGTGCCTTCATCCATCCGCACTGCGCCAGCACCGACAACCCGACTTCCTGCGCTGCCTGCAGCAGCCGCTGCCTCCCGACTGATGCTGGGGCACCCTCTGCCTCCAGAGACTCAGTTCTCACCTCTTTCGCCACCCATGGAGCTGGGGGAGAGGGGCTGGGGGCTGCCTCGCCTTCCCCAGGGGCTCACCCCATGCTCTGCTTGCAGGTGACGCCCTTCCCGGAGCCGTACAGGGAGATGCTGCACACCTACAAGCTGAGCGAGCAAGACACCGATGTAAGAGCAAACATCTGTCCTGCATATCCCCCCTCTGTCCTGTGCTGTTGTCCCTGTCCCCTGCAGCTGTCCCCATAGAGAGCTGTGCCGAGCACTCCTGCACAGCCCGGCTGGGATGTGGTGCTGTCCTGAGTGTGCAGCCCAGGGACTAAATCCTCTGCTGAGCTCAGCTGCTCGGTCTCGCCCCATGTCCACCTTTGGCCATTGTCACCCTGGCTGGGGCTGAAGTCCCTGCAACGTGAGCAGTGGGCTGGAAACCCTCCCCAGGACCACGTGTTGTCCCATCAAACCAACCCCCACGGGCCACATCCCAGCTGCATGTTGTCCCTCCCAGGGGACTTGTCCCCAGCTGAGGATGGAGCCGTTTGCACCCCGTGTACCCCATCCCTGGCCTTTCATCCTCCCTTTCTCTTTCCCCCTGGGGTCAGAAGCTACTGGGGAAGCTGTGTGAGCAGAACAAGGTGCTGCGGGAGCAGGAGAGGCTGGGGGAGCGAGCAGAGAAGGTACATGCTGGGTGGCTCAGGTGGCCGTTGGGGACGAACCTGGCTGCGTAGCGGTGGCCTCACGACTGCATCTCCCTCTGGTCCCCACCAGGAGAGCCTGGAGAGTGCCCTGATGGGGACGCACCAGGAGCTGGAGATGTTCGGGAGCCAGCCCGCCTACCCGGAGAAGCTGCTGCACAAGAAGGAATCGCTCCAGAACCAGCTCATCAACATCCGCGTGGAGCTGTCGCAGGCCAGCACGGTAACGAGTCCCCGTCCCCTGCTGTCCCCCACCGGCACTGTGTCCCCCACACTGTGTCCCCCACCTGCCGTGATCCCTTTTCTTCCTTCCTGGAAAAAAAATAAACAAGAAAGGCGAAGGGAAATCCCCTCGGCTGGCTGGGACCCAGAGGAGCCAAAGTCCCTTGCTGGGGACAAAGCACATTAACACTCACGGTGCCAAGCTGGCGTGTGTGCCCGGAGCCATCGGCTCCTGCTTCCAGCTCCCTGCGGTGCCGTGCCCAGCGTGCTGATGGCACCG